AATGTGTGTTCGCATCAAAGAGCACTTAGACGGCAAAGATAAATCACGCACATCCACCCCTCTGGGCACTCACCGAGTACAAAAACATGCGGGGACAAATTTCGGAGTTTCGGTAAAAATCTTGGCGCACGAATCTCAAATATCAGCGCGCAAGTGTTTAGAAGCTTTTTGGATCCACGCGAAAAATCCAAAAATGAATCGCAAGGAGGAATGCCTGGCGATCACGCGTGAACTCGCACCTTACCTAGGTCAGCTCTTCTGACCTAGTTTTTCGCTATAAATAGTGGTCCCTCAAGCGGTCATTATTCGTCTCGCTCTCGCGTCAAAAAGCTCTTCGGCTAACCCAAAAGGTGAGTGTTTGGCTAAATGCTACCAGCTGAGCTAGTGATCAAACCTAAGTCTTGGCGCTTTGCTCACTCTGCTGCAGAGACGTTGTCGAATGGATTGCAGATCGTATTACCCATTTCAGGCTCTGAAGAAGGCGATCTGCCGAAACGTTAGCCTAATAAAGTTTTTAACAATCTCGGGTACGGCTCACAAGAAGACACAGAAGATAATACTCTAAGAAGTGTTCCCTACAGAATTTCTTCTTTCCAGCAGTAATGTTCTTGTTCGGATTCCTATAACGTTCGCTTAGAATATCGTCATAATCTTCAACCTATGTTTTTTACATACCTTACTTTTGCTAATTTTGAAATTTTCAAAATGGTTTGATAAAAGTTGGATAGAGTAAACAAAATGCTGTGTAATACAATTTCTTGACATCGACACTTGGCTTTTCAAATCTTTAAATTATCATTCTGATATCCCAAACCTCGTAGAGCATCAGGTGTCACTAATGCAGTTTCTTCTTCGTTTTGACCGATGTCTCTTCTTTCTGATTTGTAGAGGTCTCGAGGAAAAAATTGCCATAATTCTAGTTCTTTGATGTGTCATGGCTGCACCCGAAAATTCCAAAAATCAATATTTCGAGGAGGTAGAAACTCATCCGTTTGTTAAAGTCATTCTTTCATCATAATCAACTTTTGAAGGTTTCAATTTTTGAAGAGTTCATAGTCTTGAAGCGTTTCGTATATTTTACAACTTCGCAAATGTGATGTTTGAAGAATTTTTTTTGAAAAAAAAACGAAAAGTCAGCTATTGATCAAATGGGTTTTGTAGCATTTTGCACTCTATCTGACTGTTATCAAAGAGTATCCAAAAGTCCAGAACGAAATTTTGAAAATAGCAAATTTTAGGCTAGGTAAAAACTATGGGTTGAAGATTCCGTCGATTTCACAAGCGAACAACTTAGGAATCCGAACAAAAACACTACTGAAAAAAGAAGGAAATTCTTCATAGAACACTTCTCAAAATGTTTGTCTACCATTATTCTGAATGATTTTAGGATAGGTCTAAAAAGGGCACGAATTTTCGGAACCTATGTGCTGTATCTGAAAAAAAATGTATGCAGCAGACATTTCACGTGCGTTGATTTTACTGAGCTTGTCACGAGTTTTTCACCTTTCCTAATGAGTAACCATGTTTTAAGGAACGTTGAAAACATTTTTATATGGCACAATTTGAAAAAAAAGAGTGAAAGCTTTTGTATTTGAGGTTCAGTACTCTGAAAATTGTGGAACGCATTGTGGAACGCTGCAGAAAAATCTGAAAACATGTTTGCGTGAGCTGCTCTTTTCAACAGTGCGAAGCGCTGATCGAGCTTTTGTATGAAATGTTACTCTTTTCGTGAATAATACAACAGAATGTAAAAAAAGTCATTTTCGCCTTCTTTCTCAGCTCTCCCTAAAATAATAACTTCAGAAAGGCTCGATCAGGCTCACGCAAACATGTTTTCAGATTTTTCTGCAGCGTTCCACAATGGACGGTTCATTTACGATCGAGAGTAATGTGGGTCTCCTATTCGAATTTTTTTCTCTGGAGTTTGTTGTCGTAAAAAACAACAAGGATTAAAAAGTTGATGAATTTCTTTTCATAGCAGGAATTTTTGTAAGCAAAAACGTCCACATAGGGAGCAGTTACGAGTTTTCCAAAATCCGACAAAACTTTCAGTTTAACCTAATGTTTTCGAAAATCGGGAGTTTGCGTCGTTCTCCGTTTCTAATTTTCATCTCTGAAGTTTCTGTTGCCGAAGCAGCAAAGATGTTCCTAAAATGTAGATAAAATTCCCTTTTTGATAGGATTTTTGAGCAAACATGTTCACATTGGGAGTAGTTACGAATTTTTACTTTTGTGTCAAACTAATATTTATTTATTTATTAATTTATTTATATAACTCAAAACTGTGTTTATCCCGTATCTTAACTGTATCTTCCTTGTAGAACTCGCCATGAATCTCCGCCAGCACAGTTTCTACGCCGCGTCTGCACATTGCCGGCACATCAGCTCTGGATGCAGCCTCACCTTGTGAGAGTTCTCATCGTTGAACTATTGAACTGCGGTTGCGACATAAATATATCGTGATTACCTCAGCTAACCTCCTTTTTCTTATAAGATCCTACTCGCTAAAGCCAATTTTCTAGTCGTCAGTTTCAAAGCCCGTGTAAATCCCTGGATATCGTGACTATAGCTCGGAGTATGCCGTGAGATGTGCTGACTATCGTAGATCGAGGCAGGCAACGCGGCTATCCTCTACCATTGCTGCCGGATGCAATCAATGCGGAGCGCCAGAGTACAGTCTGCTCTAATCGGGATCAGGCCGAACCGTCGGCGTAAATTTGCGCGCTCGCAGCGCTAGCGGTCTGCGCTGCATGTGCGCGCTGCCGGAGAGAGCAAGAGCTTGAAGAGAGGGCAGAGAAGCAGGCCGTGGGCGTGACCGCGAAACCCTATCGATGCGGTCTCCCGCCATGCCAATTTTGGCCTGGTTGAGATTGGGGCAGACTGTAGTCGCACTTTGCCGCTATATGTTGCAACATATCGCGACACATAGCGACACATTGCGACATGTCGTGACGAACGAAAAGGCAGAATACTTTGTTCAACACGGAGACGCAGAGACATAGCGCGAGACTAAAACTCGACTACGCCAACCTCGCATTAGGTCGCGCATGCACAAGTTCTCTGTGACGTACGTCAGTTGCAATCAATATCATTGGCTGAGAAGCGCCTAACAGCGCCGAACAATATGCCTTCTTCTCAACTAAAAGATATATTAGATCTATATTTTGGTCGTCTTGTGTGGAGTATCGCAAGCAGTTTTAGCCGTACTACATTACCTCGGTCGGTAGTAAACCTATCGAAACTCAGAGTTATAACTCAGAGTTAACTCTGAGTTATCTCTGAGCTAACGCGCAACTTTTTGACCCCTTTAACAGGTGTTTGAACAGATCAAATCCGGAAAGCGATGATATGGCAGGATTCTCCTTAACACGTAGTTTATTCCTAGTAGCGCAAAATTGTCCAAATCGTCCTGCACAAGAAACAGCGGCACCAAACGCGCAACTAATGTCTGCGATAACTCTGAGTTTGGTGCGAGTTCCAGTCTATCGTGGAACTCAGAGATAACTCTGAGTTTGGTCAGAGAAAGAGAAATAATGCGCAAAAGAAGAGGGGCAGCTAAAAAGTCCTCCGGGGTACATTTTGTTCGTAGTTTAAGCAGGCATGATGGGGGTATCGTGGTGCGCAGTGATTTACAAAATTCTGAAATTTTGTAAAAACTTGGCCCAGGGGGTTATTCGGTGCGCTGGTCACGCATATGGTACCCATTTTTCACTATGGGATCATGTTGAGGTGTTACGGTAGGTTTACGGTAGATGGGAGAAAATCACGAAACTGATCGGAACTTGGTACACTGGGGTTATTCGGGGCGCCGATAACGAATATGACATGCAGATTACACTGTGGTGTCATCTGACGAGGTACGGTAGGTTTACGGTAAATGGGAGGAAATCACGAAACTGATCGAAACTTGGTACACTGGGGTTATTCGGGGCGCCGATAACGAATATGGCATGCAGATTATACTGTGGTGTCATCTGACGAGGTTACGGTCGGTTTACGGTAGATGAATTAAAGCGGCGGAATTAGCCGAAATTTGGTACACTGGAGTTATTCGGGATGCAGATTACGGACAATCTATCTGCTACATACACTGGTGACATATGGAACGGTTACGGTAGATATACGGTAAGTAAGACGAAATCATGGAAGGGCAAACTTTGCCCGGAGGATTTATTCTGTGTGCAAATCCTAATAGTCAATTCTTATCATTGCGTATGCCATTCGCTTTCTCTATTGTTTGAAGCTTTCAGCTGCGCAAAAGACCAATCCTCGTGATGAACCATCACTGCCCGATAGAAATGGAAATGAACGAGGCTTTGGTATAACTTGTTTTGACCTGCTAAGTGTTGATGGAATGAGTGAGTACATTATGGCAAAGCAATTTTAGGGTTCATGGGTGTGTCATAGTCTAGAGGTTTGGTGATAGGATCTTTACGCTAGACCATACAGGTTCGCATCCCTACTTTAACGTCGCTTTTGCAGCAAAGCGCTCAACAGCTCCTCAAAGCAAAACTCCGAGCTTGAGAGTTGGAATTCGGAATTACGAAAACGGAACTCAGAGTTTCAATAAGCGTAACTCAGAGTTTCAAAAACGGAACTCAGAGTTAAGTCTGAGTTAACGCGGAGCTTCAAACTCGGAGTTTCGACCAGATTATTCTGGTAACCTCCAAAACTGCATACCCATAGCGCAGCTGCTGTGGGCACTTATCGCGGTTATCAGTGGCTCGAACCCGCGTTTATGCTTTAGCTTTGCGGCGCCCTAGGAAATCTCGCTATAGTCTCGCGAGATACTTCGAGCTATCACGACATAGTCCCTCTATGTTGTGACGATCAGGAGGGGTTTACTACGGGCCCAAAAGTTCGAAAAAAAATTTTATGTAACATGTTAATCGCGGCTCATACATCATGCACTTTGTAAAGTCCTACAACATAAAAGTTCGGTGAAAGTCGCGATATATCACTTCATTCCCCAAAAAGCTGTCACAAATCAATCAAATTGACGAGACCACTTTATCATAATTATAGCATATCACAATCGAGTGCAAAACCATCTTCCACAGTTGCGACACTGAGAATACTGAACAAAAATAAAATACAAATTCGTAGTTACTGTGGGTGGCATGTACAGGAAGATCGGAGTGATACAAAATAGCATGGACGGATGTGAGAGTGAGCAGGTAAGAGCACATTCAACCAGGCTCAAAAAACGAATGGAAGACGCTAGCGTATGGATATTTCTGAGCTTAGAGTGCTATAACGAAAGCATCAACAGAAGAAGCGCCAACGTCTTCTGCAGCAGTATTGAGCTGGCTGCGCTCTGTACGGAAATACGTGGAGGTGCTTCTGGTTGGCGCTGTGGCAGTGGCGCAGGCTGTTCTGCTGATCTGAAAAAGAGAAAATAAAATCACTTTAATGACTTGACTTACAAATCGAGGATGCCATTTTGAATGTTTCTACACTTCCTCTCCCTTCTAAACAAAATTCTTTGCTCTTCAGATATCTTCACATCCTAGCTCTGTATTCATCATGCCCTCGTTCGTTTTTCAAGCTCTCTCGCATTCGTGCTCTCTGATCATTCTCTGCTTCAACTACGTTACGAAGCCCCGCCTTCCAGCCGACAATCTAGTTGAATTGAAGGGTACAGTGATCCTCAGGGCAAAACACTATCTTGGAACGATATAATCCATTTTCCGGGCGTTTCTCAAGTATGATTATTGTAATTGATTTGCGTGCCTGCCATTTTTTGCGGTCGAAATTTTGAAAACCTATGCTCTTCTTTATTGGCTTTTTCGCCGTGATATGCCCGCAATGCTTTTTTGCTCCAAGCTGCACTAGAAAACGTATGATTTTTTACAGAATATTGAAAACTGTGAAAGTAGGATCGTAGAGTTTCTAAAAATATGTACAAGGCTCATGTTCCAACATGATGATACACTATTTTGCAGTCAACGGTCACGATGTTAGAAGATATTTCAAAATGTTTGGGACGTTTGGAGACTTTGTTAATTCTCCTTCTGTAAATAAATTCCACAAGGGTTTTTTTATTGATGGTCCCCTATTTGTGACACACACATCTGAACAAAGTTTGGTTCCCATAATCTCACGCCTCTATCCTCCTTTGTACTCATAAACAAGTTGGAGATGATATGCATGCGTCGTTGATGACTAAGAAAAGCGTAGATCTAATTTTGTGTCAATTAGTAGTTATAACTTGACAAGTCAAAAATATTCGAAAACCCTTTGGTTTGCAGAGAATTCGGAATAAAACTTTCTAAAGGTTCGGGGAGCATGCTGTCGCAAAAATGGAGCAGTAGTTTTACAAAAAAAATATAAGCCTCGTTTTTTTATCGCAAGTCCAGATGAGCCAAAAGATCAGAAATTTCAGCAAGAATCGCTATTCCTGGCAACAACTTCCTTAAGTGAATTCCCTAACATAGCTCCTCTTCAAATTTGGTGGCAAGATAATTAGATTTTCCCAAAAGCAAAGATTTGTTCTTTTTGCGCAGTGGCATTGAAGATTTCGGGGTAATCCAGCATCCCCTTGCCAAAGTTCAATTCCCAGAGTCTGTCATACTCAGGGTTCCGCACAGGTGGCTTATAAGCAATCTGGATATCGTTTTTTGGGACAAAAAACAGAGGGGGTTTCGTTTTTGAGGCCGAAAAGACATAAAATTTGCGGCATTTTTTTGGTCGGCGTTTCGTTTTTTGGAGATTTTTTCAGGGGTTATGGCCTAAGGTTAAAGGAGATTTCGTAAAAATTCGCAAAAGCTAAGGGGGACTTCGTTTTTTTTCTTGCATTTTCAACTAGCCATCTCGTGCCGAACCCTGGCCATGCTCGCAAATTTGTATGTATTCTTGGCCATCCGCATGCATTCGACATCTCGTTTGCAGAAACAATCCCCTTAATCGCCGCTTCTAGTAGCGACCTGAGCGATATCAAATGACATCGAGGAGACATGTCAGCAGAAACCGAATCGGTCCTCGAAAACCCTTGCGCATGATGTTTTTGGCAATCACGCTAGGTGGCGTCGTCAGCGCAAAAATCGGTCTCAGTTTCAATTCGTCTGGAAAGCGAATGCCAGCGTCAGTCGTTGGCTTGATTGAATTGTGCCCTTAGTAAAAAAGAGAGTTTTAGCTGTAAGAGCAAGAAACGTTAGTTGCTTAAATTCAACAAAAACCAAAAAATCGAAGTCTAGCTCTCAGTTAGGATGGGGAAAATAGCCTACACACACACACTCTCTCTCTCAAAAAAAAACGAAGCAAAAACGTCCAATTTTGTAAGAGTAAAATTAGGGCTAAACCAAATCAGCTCTCATAATTCTGATTTACAGTTCAGTACGGTAGTCTTAACTTCAAGATGTAGTGCAATTGCACCATTTTTGAGATCTGCAATTGTCATGATCAGAAACACTATGAGACTACGAGAAAGTAACGTAAAAATCATCCCAATTAGAAAGAATAGGCTAGTGCAATTACATAGATCTGCTGGATGGTGCTACCGTGGGCAGTAAATCTGATGAGTTTAATTCGACGAAATCTTATGACAGTAATCGTGCTCCAAACCTCGGAAAAGCTTTGTAGTGTCCCAGCCTCGCCCTACTAAAGCTTTTGTTATTTGTTGGTGAAAGGAATGCACCACAAGAACCAAGGTTTGGGCATTTTTGCGTCGAAAAACTAACAGAATACAGTAGGTTGATTTCAATCCCAACAAAAATTGATGTGCGTATAAACTCGCAAAGTTTTGGGTGAATGAAGAAAAAGGAAAAGAAATGAAAGACACTTACTTGTCAGGCCAATAGGAATAATTGCAGAAATCGTCGGAATTACAGCCACAAATCCTCACGAGAGCGCCGCTTTTTGATGTTTTTTCTCGACAAAATCCATCCTTTTGCAATTTATTGTGGCATGTGTAGTGAATCCCCAGCGTTGGGTGGTCCAACATCAAACATGCTGAAAATCGATTGATCGATTCGTGAATGTCAATAAATCATCTCAAAAATTTAGTAATATAATTTCTAACACATTGACGACCTTGTGTATCCGCACGTATGCACGCCCTGACTCCCGTTTAGCATTTTCGTGCATCCGCGCATATGCACGCTAGTTTTTTAGGTGCAAAGGAAAAGTTTTAAGGTAACTTCTATGCAGTAATACTAGTAGTGGCCTGGTTGTCTTAAACACAGGGCATCGCGGCAGCTGTTTAGAAGTTTTGGCCGCAATTTGGGTAATCAGTACGTTTTTGATGTAGTCAATACATGCTAGTTACGTTTTCTCAAGAAGGTGGAAATTCTGTATAGCTGTTTTGAAATCAAACAAAGATGAATCAGGCAAAAAACAACTGGTTTTACAACGCTTTTCTCGAAGAGCGATTCCTCAGATATAGCCATTGCATGGATTACTGGAGGGAAAATCAATGCAAAAACCTTGATTTGTGTAAGTCCTGATAAGACTCTGTGATATACCTGTATGTCTAAACAAAGTTCGTTTTTTTATGAATAAGTGTCAAAAAGACTCCCACATAATGTTTTCGTGCATCCGCGCGTATGCACGGGCCAAATGCGCGAAGGACGTTAGTGGGAGTTCCGCCCAAAATGGCGCGGTCGTCAACGTGCTAAACAATCTTTTTGAGTCCTATAGATTGCAAATGCTGAGTATTTTGGATTTTTTTAAACGACTGGATTCGTTTCACGTTTGAAGTGCTTGATTTTTTGTGCACTTTCCGAAAATGGCAACCCAAAAAGATCTTTTCTTATATACGAAACAGTGAAAAATGATCATCAAAGGAACAAGCCCCGAGGACTACAGGAAATATCGCACACACACCACACACTATATCATGATGAAATAAGATCTGAAAGCCGTCTCAGCACTATTATTTACCATTCTAATATAGCCAAAAAATGCAAAACCAACGCGAACTAAGACAACACAGTAAATGAGACTCTATATCGCCTTGATGCTGCAAAATATTAGGTTGTTATAAAAGTTCTGTTGTAATTCAAGCAAAAATTAATAACTTTCAAATGTTGAACCTAAACTCATGTTCCAGTACCCCAAAAATACCGCTTGAAGGCTTCCGCTTCATAAAAGATGGTAAGTGTGACAATTCATGACTTGGACTCCGAGAACGAAGCTTCCAAACATAACTATTTAAAATTTGCAGTTTTAATTTTGGTGCTCTGACCTAAAAAACTATAGAAATTTTCTTGTACAGCAAAAGTCCATATATTAATTTGAGAGGATTCAATCTCGTATGGAAATGCAAAAATAAAGATGAAAAATGTCTTTTCATAAGAAAAATGCCCTTATCGTCGCAGTTTTTCACGGAAACACAGCTTGATGCTCCAAAAGCGCGACAATGTTCTAAACAGGCGCTAGATGTAAATTCTGGTTTTGAACCAGAAATTTTTTGGGCCGCTAACTGACCCTAGAATGCTTTTTGGGCCAGTCAGCAACCCTTCGCCGTTTTCTGGCACTAAACAAAAATCGCAAATTTCGAATAGCTATATTTGAAAGCTTCGTTCTCAGAGGCCAAGTCATGAATTTTAAAGCTTACACATCTGTTATGAAGCGAAAGCCTTGCGGTATTCTAATAATACTGGACCACGAGTTTAGATTCGATACTTAAGAAGTTATTGATTTTTTGTTTGAATTACGCAAGAACTTTTGCACCAATCTTCATTATTATGAAAAGAAACTTGGGTGAAAGCCAACACTTTCATATAGTTATATCAGATATTCATCAATCAGGTGAAGGTATAGCATTGCGCGCGTACTTAACAATACATTAAAGTAAACCGCCGCGAGTTTCTCTAATACCAGTTCAACATAGCAAATCTACATGGTCCAACAGAGGGCAAATGAAGCCTTGAAGAATTCTATAAAAGGACAAAGCTCTGATGGGACGTTTCTTAATGAGATGATAATGTGGTATATCTCATCAAGAAAGAACAAGAAAGCAGAAATTTTTTGGCACTGTTTATTTTCCTCATTGCAGAAAAAAACAAAAGCTGGAAAAGAAGAGCCTACTAAGATTATAGCATTTACTGAAGAGAAGTTGAAGTCATAATTCGAAAGGGTCATCTGAAGCTTTTTGTAATGTTGATCGTTCCCAAATTTATCTCTATTTTAACAACACCGCAAAAAGCAAAAATGCGAAACGCTCAAGTATTTTGGCAAATGAAGTTCCTGAGGCTTTGGGCTTCTATCGGGTGATTTATAAGGTTTGCAAAGTTTTTGCTTCAGGTTAGGACAGAAACAAACTGAGATCATAGGAAAGAAGTGGCAAGATCCAGTCCACAGCAAGGCCATAATTTTATTTTTACAATTGCCATTATCCGAATTAGTACCATAAAGTTGAACCGCGAAAAAATTGATGTTTTTGCGATTCTTCGTCCTTATTCTTAACATTCCCTTACTAGTGCCAGCACATGGCATTTTACTTTGTAACAACAGATTGCGGTTGTGCATCTCTCTAAATAACAACAACAAAGCCAGCTGCAATTACTACAGGCAGCTAAACAAACTCAAATGAAGTAAACTCATCAAAGCTTAGTATAGCTTAATTGTCTTGAAGTTAATTTGGATTTGATTTGAAGAATTTCGGGATAAAATACCTAGAGAATTAATCAAATGTTTCTACAGACTTGGACTAGTGCCTTCATTCAATGCAATAACACGAGCTGAATGCCTTTAATGCCTGATTTAAACGTAGAAATATTGAAAGTGTTGTTGGAAAATGGAATCCCTGAATCTCTTGCGCCATCTTCTCCACTGACTCACTAGCACTGCTAAAGATGTGTTTGAAAATTCAATCTCACAGTAACAACCGTTTTTTTGTTCTTGAGATGATTTTCCCTCATATTTTATAATTCTATAGGGCTTATAGCTCGAACTGTGGTGAAATATTATATCTATTTGCCGAATGAGGGAGGGAGAGATCGCTGTATTCTAATGGCATGCCACACTACTAAAAACAATCCATCCCATAAATCAGTCACATTCAGAATTTTGCTATCAAGCAAAAGAAGTTGCACTTTATTTGTGACTCGCTTTTCAGGCCCTATAAAATTAAATTGATGATTTTCATGGTGCGAAGGAAAAGGCGATGTAGGTAGTCAAGTTTCAGGAAAATTCCAGTTTTAAAGAAGGGGCAATTTTTTGTTGTTACGGTACGTAATGGCAGCTTTAACAACACTATTCACATAAATGGGTTGCAGCAAAAGTCTTGCACCGTCTATAGAATCATTGACTTCTAGATTTCTAGTGAACTCCTTCAACTCGAGGCATGCTGGAGAGAATAAGCCTTGTGATCTCAGTGCTTGATGAAAAATTATATCGACAAATTGCAACGGTACAGCTGATGAAAAACGTCGAATATACATTATTCTCTATTTTTGGTTGTTAAATAACAGGCCCCTTGAAAGTCATTTTTACTTTTCTTGCAGTTTTGTGAGCTACTGTGCCTAGCTAAGAAAATTTTGTAATCGTGCTAACAAAGTCTTTTGTAGGCATAGTAGGATACAACATTCATTTAAAACGAATTTTTAACGAGTTTTAGGGGCAACTTTTATGACGTAACGTATTATCACAGTGTTCCGGTTAGAATCACTAATAGGCATATGTGCAGACTGCATGGCTACGTGGACAGTCAAATAATATCAAAATATCCCACTTTCTTGACCATAATCACTGATAGAAGGACGTGCAACATATATAGTACAAAAAGCGCAAAGAGACAAAAAATTGCACAAGCATTGGTTTCGAAGAACCCACTTCTTACTGAATGTAAGGCAAAAGGACTGCTCTGACTATAGCATGAAACGTCAAAGGCGCCAAAGGAAAATCAACTAAAATAAAAGGTTTACAGGAAATTCTTTCTTCGGTTCCGGCAAATCATGCTTACGGTCTATGCGTGGTATCAACACAACTTTTGACTTTAACAACTTAAAGATTTTAAATTCAAAGCCATTTTTCAGAAAGAAATTTACAGAACCTATAGCCCAGCAATGCCATTAAGTTTTTCGCTTATTCAAGTGGATGATTATTAGAAAACATGCACGACTAGTTCTGCGGCTTATGTCCACGCTGCTGAATTTATGACTTTAGCAATAATTATATTCATAAGTGCAACATAGCTTGTTTGCCAATAGAATCCATCATTTAGAAAACCTTTTCCCTTCTATGGTTTCCTCATTTGGTAAAAAAAAGGCAAACAGGATCTTCTCAACATCCAGGTACCTTGCGACACCTATGGCGTCAACAAGAAACAATTACTCATGAATATTCAATGGGTACATGGAAAAAATTGTTGAATGGACTCGACGACAAGTATCCGAAGTATAATCAAGTTAGGTGATGTTGACGTTGGCTATTGCTTACTTTGGATAGCAGAGTTCTCTTCCGATAACAATTACAAGCAAAAGAATAGGACAACATTAGCTTATTGCCTTCTTCGGTGAGGAAATTTCAAACTATCCGTTTCCCTCTGATAGCCTCGACGATTTATGCCCATTGAAAGTCGTTTATCCCCAATCTTGTCCTAGGAATGTTCGAAAAAGACAGAAAACCCCTCTCTGACCTACCGTCAGCAAAGTGGCACGCATCCAACCAAGGCTAATCTATGCAGAGACGTCATACCAAAAAACGGGAACCATTGCGTCAAATGGAGAGGTGAAATATTAATTATTTGGCTGATAAGTAATTTCAGTCGCTTTCGCGGCTCCTACAAATGCTGCAAACAAATTTTTGTTCAGTGTTTGATATCCCTGGAAAGAGCATTTTAATGGGAGTTGGCATGCAAGCACTGTTTGAGTTTTATTTTCCTTTGAGAAAAAGGGCAAAGAAGTGAGAAACCTCAGTTATGTGCGCAAATGTGCGAAAATTCCGGTTTTCTTTTATCGAGGAATTTTGAAAACTGCAGATTACAATTTTTGATATCACTAGCTACC